CTGCCAGCTGGGCGGAGGACGCGGCAGGTGAAGTCGGCGGCCCCAGCGTGCGAGAGACGACGAGGGGCTTCCCTTTGCTGGCGGGGCACAACCAGGGCCAGCCCTCGCAGCACTGGACGGGGGCCGGACTATTGAAAGTCTTAAATGTCCATCTAGGTCTTAGGGCCACCCCGGTCGGGTGGCCGATGGCGGTACCGGCGTCCGGCTGGTGACCGGACAGACTGGACGGGGGCCGGAGAGCTCCGGCTGCTGGGCCCAGGGTCGGGGCCGGCCCCCGGCGCTGCTGTCGTGGAGCAGGCTGGCCACCGGGCGCCGCTGTGAAGCCGCGGGAGCTGCCCGTGCGGACAGGTGCCCGGCTGAACGCAGTCCTGGCCCGGGCGCTGCCCCTGGGCATGTCTGGCGGGGGGAGAGTCGCAGCCCCTCCAGCCGTCGGGGCGCGGGTCCTGCTGCCAGGCCGTGGCTTTCCGCTGAGCTCTCGTGTCTTTAGCTCACGTGAAGGCCGTGGGGTCTCTGTGCAGTGCCCTAGATGCATTGCCGGCACCCCCCCCCCAGCAGGACTGGGGCTGAATGGTCTCTAGAAACTTTCCCATCACCCCAGCTGGCGTCGCCTCCGGCCACAGGCCACTCACGCAGGGTCAGGGATGCCGGCATTGCTGTGGCAAGCAGAGCCCAGCACCAAACTCGTGCCAGGAAGGGCCCCTAAGCAAACCCCGGCCAGTCCGCCAGGCGGGGCAACCTGGGGCAGCCCCAGGGAGCAAAGGGGTGCTCAAATGGAGCAGCTCTGACCACCCTGCCACGCATCGCAGACACATTTACCTCCAGGGCTCTGCATGGGGGGTCATTCGTGAGCCCCTGGGTCAGATGGAGGGGATGGAATGAAACAAGCTCCTTGATTTTGCCTTTCCCCCTCTCTGGGCTTCGGGACCGGGCAGGCTGAGAGTCCCGCACCCCTTGGTTGCAGTGATCCCCGGAAACAGCAGCCCTCCCCCATCCCTGCTGTTCTGCACTGGGAGGCGGTTACCTGGTGCATGAGCAACCCGGACGCCCCAGTTCCCTGTAGACCGCCAGCTAAACTGGGCAGGGGGAGAGGCCCGGCCAGCAGGACCTCCCTAGCGCATGATCCAGGGCAGAGCTTTCTCGGTGCTTCAGTGGAAGAAAGGGGCATGAGACCTCAGCTCCGACACTGCAGAGTCCCCCAGTCCCTAGGAATAGAAAAAGCATCTACAGAGTCGCGCACCTGCAAGAACCCAGGGCGGGAAAGGTGAGAACCATCTGCCCGCTCTGCTCTCTGCCGAGGGCTGCATTTGGACGGGCCCCTGGAAGCCCGGGGATTCAAACAGAGGCCCAGAGCCTGGCTGGGTCTGTGCCCACGTAGCCATTAAGCTGGAGGGGCCAGGCAGGGAGCTCTGCTCCTGGACGGGGCCGGGGGGCAGGAGCAGCAATTTGGCGCCTGGCTGTGGTGTCTGGGGGGGACGTGGTGGGGACACGCGGTTGAGGGAGTTCAGCCTTGTACTCATGCCCGATGGAGGGAACTGGGGGGCGGGGGGGGGGCAGCCCCTCCACGGCCTCCTCCCTTCACTGAGGTGGGGTCTCCCCATCTCCTTCCACCCACAGGATGGACCATCCTGCGATAACCCAACATGGCCTCCTTGCCCTGCCTCCTCGTGGTGCGTGGCACAGCCCCTCCAAAGCAGACGCAGGCCCTGACTGCAACAGAGGACGGACCAGCTCCCTGGTGCCCTGACCAGGTGCACAAGCATCTTCCTGCCCCGACTGCCTGGGACACACCCCAGGCCATCCCCACCCGGGGTCAGTGCCGTGACTGCTGGGGTTGAAGCCAGGCCAGGCAGCAGGGCAGCACAGGGGCTCTCACATGGGACCCCCCAGACTGGGGCAGCCTGGGGATCTCTGGGGACCAGTGCTTGATGCCACTGCCCAGGGGCAGCGCTTGGGGCTTGCACAGCCAGTGTTGTGGGAGGATACAGCTGAATGCCTGCCCCTGAGGCCACGTTCCTCCAGAGGCCTCGGGAGGGAGCAGGTGGGCGCAGACAGCAGTGACCACACACGTGGCAGTGGCACACCCATGCACAGGGCTGGCCAGCCATCAAGTCCCACCAGGCACCCTGCACATTAACCCTTCAAACGCTGATCATGCGCCAAAGCAGAAGCATGGAGGGTAGGGGGTCACTTCACTCCTATTAGGAGCCTTGCCCCCCCGGGAGACTCCAGATGGCACCTGCACGTGCTCCGCAGGAGCAAGGGCAGAACTGCCCTGCAAGGCCCCGATGGGCAGAAATCCCTGCCCCAGCCATGAGGAAAGGGAGCAAAGCAAGGGGGTTATTGCCACAGTCCCCCATGTCCTGGCCTAGGGCAGGGCTCCCCCAGTGAGGAGAGGGACCCCGCAGCCCCCAGAGCCTCCTCTTCCTGAACAGGGCAAGGGGCCAGGGGACGAACCCAGACTGGGAGCACTGGCGAGGCCACTGGGCCTCCCATGGATAGAGAGCTCTCAAAGGAGGCCCCTGGCTTTCATCTCCCCCAGCCGTGCTGTGGCTGCCCCAAAGGGCAGCAGAAGCTGCCGGAACGTGTCAGAGCCGGCCCGTGATTGACACCCAGAAAGGACCTGTCACTCAGGGCGAGTGTGGGCACACCTGTGGCAGCCCCGGCCCTGCCACCCCCCTGCAGCTCTGGGGAGGGGCAGGCGCCCTGGACTCACAACTGGCCCAGCCATACCCACCCCCTGCCCCAAGGCGGCTTGGGGTGTCCTGGGCCCTTCTCTGTACCCCTGCCCACCTCAGCAGCCAGGCCCAGGCCTGCAGACACCAAGGAAAAGCTGCTTTCTGGGGAGCAAGTGCCACAGGCCAGATGGACCTAGCAAGGCCCCTTCCCCGCCAGCCCGGCTGGGGGCATCACGTGTTCTCCCAGCCCAGGCAGGACTCTGCAGCTCCTCCCTAGCTCCTGCCCCAGGCTTGCCAGGGGCACAAGGCCTGCCCTGGGCAGGGGTCTCGCAGCCAGCTCCCCACCCGGCCCAGCCACCTCCTGCCCAGGCAGCTCTGCCTGCACCGACTCCCCAAGCGATGGGTGCTCCCGGCGCTCTGGCAGCCCCGCGCCAGCGCCATCCAGTCCACCCGCCCAGCCCAGGCATGGCGCGGAGCTGCTCGGGTCCTGGGGGTTCCCAGTGGATGGGGTCATTTTCCCAGCCTCCCTCCCAGGCCAGCTGGTCCCGGGAGCGGGATCCAGGCAGGGGAGGGCGAGCTGTTTTCATTCCAAGCGCGGGGTCAGGTCATGGTTTGTCTCAACGGCCTTCGTGGCTGTAATTATCAGATTAATGGATCTCGGGCTGCATGCTTAGGGGCAGCATCATTAACCCTTGATCACCCCCAGCCCCAGGCAGCTACAGCAGCAGGGAGCGAGGCGCAGGGTGGACGCCCAGCCCAGGGGTCAGTCCTGACACTCCAACAGGGAGCACCTTCCACCGGGGACCGCGAGCAGCCAGCCGGGGCAGGGGGGCCGGGGCAGCGCAGGCCACCGCGGTCTGGCCGCACGTGCAGCAGCACTGAGTTATGGGGGGGCTGGGCGGCTCTGGGAACTCAGCAAAGACTGGGACTGGTGGGGTGGAGGGAGGGGACACAGCTCAGAGGTGTGAGGCTACGTCTCCTCCGGGCACAGGGAGGGCAGTGGCAACCCCGTCATGGCCTGCCTGTTGCAGAGGACTGCTCTGTGCCGAAGAGGCCTTGCGGTGGATGCCAACTGCAGGAGACCCCCAGCCCGGGGCTTCCCCAGAGGGGTGGGGACATGCACAGGGGCTGGTGGTGGGCGGCTGCATGGCACAGGCCTGGCCTCAGGCCCACCTGCTCTGGAACAAGAAGCCGAGCCCCCGGCGAGCTGAGTTTACGTTCCCACTCACACAGCGGGGGCATGTCGTGGAGGGCAGGGGCCTCGGCCGTTCAGGCCAGGAACTCTCCCTTCCTCCCGTGGGCCCTGGCAGCGGGCGAGCAGCAGCCAAGGCACCGGCCGCAGGCAGAACTGGTGCCACCCCGCTGGCTCCCCTGGCGCCACACGTGTGAAGCTGGATTTCCGGGTGCAGACACCCTCCAGCCCACCCCATCATAGCTGCTGTGAGCGACACCAAAGGCACTGGAGCCCGGAGGAGTCCCCGGCAGGGTCCTGGAAATCCAGCTGCACAAGGGGCTTGGTCGCCCCAGAGCACAGGGCAGGACTCCTGTCGGGGGGGAGCCTCCTGCCCCACACAGACCCAGAGCAAGGCCAGCCAGCGAGGGCACTGCTGGGAGCAGGAGGTCTGGGGGGCTGGAGTGTGCATGGGCCCGCAGCTCCAAGTATCTGAGGGGCCCCTCGTGCACATGCACAGCTCTTCCAGCTGCACGTCCCCAGCCCCTGGAGGCCCTCTTCACCCTTAACAGCCCCACTGATGCCCCACCGGCAGCCCCCCTGGTGCTCCAGCCCTGCCCCTCAGTGCACAGCCCCAGACTGGGTCTCTCCAGCCCCTCAGTCCTGGCCCACAGCCCTGGGGTCCTCATGTGCTGCTGCAGCTGGTGCCAGGTCGCTGGCGTCACTGCTGGCACCACCAGATCTCGCGGTCTGGGGAGGAGCAGAGCCACTGCCCAGAGAAGTGGCGTGGGTGCGCTGGCACAGAAGACACCAAATCAATTCTGGATTTTTCCACAGAGCAACATTTTCTGCCCTTGGACACACAGAAACATGCGTTCCCCTTTCAACTGTCTTCATCTCTCCAAGTCTCTGTGACGGCAAAGGTCACGCAGCTCCGGACAAGCCGGGGTTTTGGGAGCAAAGCCACCAGGGTGCAGCCTGAGGACGTTTCAGTCTCACCCGTGAGCTGGGTTGTGAGGGCCAGGCAGGGAGCACCTTATAGACCGGCTTTGAGCTGGGATAGGGGGTTAGTCTCCAAGGCAGGGACTGTCCACTGGGTGCTGCAGCACCCTGGGGTGCCTGGAGGTCCTGTCTGGGTGCCACAGGGCGTGACACCCTGTCAGGGTGCAAACACGATGCACAGGATAAACCCAGAGGTTCCACCTGGGAGTCCGTGGTGTCAGGAATACGCCGAGCAGTTTGCAACAAGACAACTGCAATGTTACTTTTCTGCCATCAAAAAACCAGTGAAAACAGGGAGCTGGCGCTCTCCGTGGGGTGTTTCGAGTCTCTCAAGGGGTGCCTCGAGCCTGAAAGGGTTGAGAGCTGTTGCTCCGAGGTACCCCTGTGCTGCCTTCTGCCTACCCGCAGGCTAACGTGGCCAACGACCTCTTTAGCTTAAGACCTTGGTTTCAGCAGACACGTGCTCCGGGGAGTCCTGACTTCCCGCACGACATCTTCTGACGGGAAACACCTTCTGCTGGGAAATATGCAACCCACTTCAGGCGT